AGTGGCATTTAAAATAGAAATCTTTGTCAAAGATAGACATTTGTGTACTAATAAAAGTTTGCTTCATAGTTGTTTCTCACTTTTTAATATTCACACTCCTCCGTCCCTAAATGTTTGTGCTACTTTGACTTTTGTGGTCTTCTAAATAAACGTTTGACCGTAATTATCTATTAATATATACCTATAAATCTATAATAAATTGACATTTGAATAATACATATTACAAAGAATCACATAAAATATTTTTTTACAGATAAAATATTATTAATTTTGAATTCGGTTCAAACGGTTCGGTTTTCGCCTAAAAGCAAATGCCGAACCAAAGTAAAAAGTTCGGTTCAGTTCTGTTTTATGTTCAAAAAATTGGAATCACGGTTTGTTCGGTTCGGTTTCGGTTTTTTCGGGTTTCGCCAAAATATTTTTGTTGATTAAAAAATAGTAATTAGAAAACAAAAACAAAAAAATAAACCACATCAAACTATAATTAATAGTAATACAATACAAAAACATAATTTAAAAGGGAGAGAAAAACAAATGCACTTCAAGGCAATGAATTAGAGAGTACATGTATACCAATTTAACATTTTCTCAATTAATTAAACACATGAGTTTATTTGTGAATTATATATAGCTCATTTACAAGTTAAAATTTTATTAGTATATGTTGTGTAGACTAATTCATTTTCTTTTTTACTAAAAGACTTTTCTTACTAGTAAATAACTTATTCTACTTTTTTTAGACAACGTTATTTATGTTCTAAAATTTCACGTTTTCAGCTATGTTGTTTTAAGTATATAGTTTGTATTAATACATAATTGTTTAATATAAAAATTATGTGATAACAAACATACATAACAAATAATATATCAACAAAATATCATTTCCGTATATGCAACAACAAGTAAAATATAAATTACGATTTAAAATATCAGCATATAAGTATTATAGCAATGGACTTAAGTGTATGTACAAGCATTTCACTTAATTGAATCATAAATATTAAATGTCAATATCTTGCAAATCATAATAAACCTAGTATCAAACATTAATTTTCTAGATTTTAGAATTACGAACTAAACAAAATATTATACGTAGTACTTAATAATTACGTAGTACTCAGTAATAAATAAAATAGCAAGTTTTAAAAAGTTCGGTTTGTTCGATTCGGTTTTGAAATGTGAAAATCAAAATCAAACAACTACGGTTCTGTTTTTTGAGTTCAGTTTTGGTTTCCTTGCAGCTCGGTTGTTTTCGTTGGGGTTCACATTTTTTCGATTCCATTTTCGGTTTCACAAATAATATACCATTTGTGTACAGATGTACGCCTAGAATTGCCCATAGTTAAGATAATTGGAAACTTTAAATATAGTTGAAGATGTAAGTTAGAGAGTTAAATAAAGTTCAATTATTAATTTCATGAATAGCTTTCGTATCTGTGACTTGTGTCAATACTCGAGATAACGAATTACTCTGTACCTTGCAAGCAGATTGAGCGAGGGAATGTCAGCCCCGAAAACGTCGGATTCTCTGATGAGACGAAGATCCGCCGTCAGAGATCTCCCGGAGGACTCCTTCCCAACCGACACTACTCGGTAACCATATCCAATAACGCCTTCCTCGTCCTTCTTCTGCGCCGGAGAAGACGAGCCCAGCACGCCGGCGAAGCAGATCATCCACCACAGCAACGGAACTGCGAGTGTGGCCGGAGAATGCCGCCTCGGCCTCGCCATCGACCTCTCTTGCACAGATCCGTCTGTGGAAATTGAAGTCAGGTAGTCAACAGCAGTCAGCACTATCTCACCATTAATGCTCTGCTTTAGTTTATCCGCATTTTGTGTGAAGCGTATGCTTTTCATCATCCATAACGTCACTTCAAATTGCCCCCACAGCGCACTGATTGTCTGTTTTGCTGAATTTCGCACCGTTCGCTGATTTATTGAGGTCCGGCGAATGATTGAGATGGACAAATCCGTGGGCTATTCGAATTTCGAGTGCCGCACCATCCATCCACTTCATTAATACTCACATATCTGTTTTCTAACATTCTAATACGGCGAATGTATTCAATGTATTTTTACGTATTAAATAATAAAACATTAACTGAATTATTATAATTATGAGTAATGATTTTATTCGATTTTTTATGAATTATTATGAAATCCAAATTTACACATTGTCGATTTTAAAATATAAAAATTTCGTTAACTATTTCTTCCTTTTTTTGGTTAATATTTTTTTATTTTGAGCACATGTAAAGTGTGGTTATTTGTGGTGGCCCTATGAATAAAAAATTTGTGCTTTTTGGACCTGGAATTAAAAAATTGTGCCTTTTGGACCTATGAATTAAAAAACTTTAGCAATTGAAATTTCTGATATAGAGAGAGATCACCTCAGGTAGTTCTGACGGGAAATCCCGTCCAAACTTGCCTATCAGAGGGTCTTTCCGGTGAATTCTTTTGACAATATTCTTCATGAAGTCTAGTTTAGCCATAAAAAATTCTTCATGACAATATTCAACCGAGAAGGCAGTCAAATAGTATTTGGAAAACAATTGTGCCAAAATATACATATAAAAACACATTTATCTTCCAAAAGTTATCTGACTGTCTTCCCAATTGAATTTTTTAGCTGAATTTTTTATAGGATAAACTAGACTTGACTAGTAACATGCCTAAAAATTCTACCGGGAAGGTCCTCTGATAGGCAAGTTCGGACGGGATTTCCCGTCAGAAATATTTGCATGCATGCATGTAATATTGGCTGGTATGTCCAAAACTCCAAATTGGAGTGTATTAATGTATTATGCAGTAGACAATATGCAATATATGCATCATATATTCATATGAAAGATAAATACAATGTATTTTAATATAGTTCTTTTGTAAAAATTAGAATACAAATAAGTAAATCACAAAGCCTTTAAAAATAGAGAGTTTTTATTTAAATTGAGTTGACATCAATTTGCGGATTCGTCCAAATTATATTGTAATTATGTGCTCTACCGTCATGAGGCCATCTCCAACAGTTAACACCATTTTTTACACTAAAATGGTGTAAACATCACATCAAACAGTATTTTATCTCCAACAGTTTACACCATTTTCATCACAAAAAAGGAATATTCTCTTTTTATTCTTTTTACTAACTTTTTACCATTCTTCTATTTAAGTATCTAACTATCATATATTTATAAATTAGCCCCTCATTTAATATTTTGACATTTAACACATTATTTCACACATACAAACTAAAATACATCATTTTAATATGTATTTTCACGCATTTCACTAATTAAAATACAATAATCAATATTTCACAATTAAAAGCTAAAACCACATAAAATTAAATATTACAATAATATTATAATAATTTGTACGTCATTAATAAAGTACTACTTAAACTTAAGGATGTTTTTAATAGGACTGTAATTTGTCTCGAGATCAGATCAGACCTAATTAGACCACACTTGGGTAGTTATAAAAATACAAAGAAATCAGATCAGATCACATCATTTCAGATCAGACCAGACCAGAGCGGACAAACCAATTTCAGTCCAAGTAAAACATCCTAATTTGTTGTTTTAAAAATGGGTCAAAACTATAATAATTAAAACTTGAAGGTCACATTTAAAAGGAAAAAAAAAATAAAAAAGGTGGATGGTGTTGAGAATGGCGTACGCCATATATGGCGTGAAGCCATCTCCTCTCCCCCAAAATGGTGTGATGGTGTGGAGAATGGTATCATTGTTGGAGAGGGTTTTTGGCAAATACACCAAAATGGTGTGTGATTTGGTGGTCTCTTGGAGATGGCCTGAGAGGAACAGATTGGAATTGTTTAAGCAATCAATCGTTGACCTCTAGCTAATTTGATACTCCCTCCGCCCCTATAATTGTCTCATTTTTCATTTTTGAATGTCGCCTAATTATTATCTCATACCATATTTAGTGGCATTTGTACAATTGTACAGCTCTAATTCATTCTTAATTTATTCTCATTTTATCAACTCATTATCAACCACATAATTCTACTTTTCTTAAAAATCACATAACTCCCCTCGGTCCCAATATTAGGGGAACATAGTCTATAATTCCGTAAAGGAGATATATGGATCCATGACTTTTTTTTGACTATTTCTTGGTAAAAAACATGCCAAAATGCGAGCCATGAAATCGCCAACATCTGTATAAAAACTTACAAAAAGCACAAGCAGACCAGGTATATGTGTATACCCAATTCTGGTTAGTGGTTACACAAGTACCTCTAGAATGGAAAGAGCGTATTCAATTCACCAGGACATCGGATTTCGGTGGTGGACCGTGGACTTGCTGATGAAACAATATATTTATGTGATTTCGTATTTGATTAAACTTAGTACGCTCCATCTCATCTTCATAACATGGTGTTTCTCTTTTCCGTCCAAATTGGGATATTTTCTACTTCAAAGTTCACATCACATCCAACCTGAAGTCGAGGCCTGAACGACCCTCACGGCCTCACTCTCTAATTAGTCACTTTAGGACGTAAGACTCAGGAAGCCAGTGGAGCCAATGAGTCCCACTGACCCAGTCTAGCTGTCTAGGCATGAACCGGGCCGGACCAGATTTGGATGGGACTAGGGTTTTGGGAAGAAGGCCCGGTACCGGCCCAGGTTTGTACAGGGACCAAGCCGGGCCCAGGCCAGGTCGGGTCTAGGTTTTTTTATTATAAAATTTGATTTTTCTTATTTATTCCACCCCACCCCACCCCCACAAACCAAACCACCCACCCCATCAGCCTAGCAGCCAATCAATTCAGAAAAAAGGGGGCCGGACCAATCCACCAAATAACCATCCCGTAGCTCGCCCCTAAAACCACCGGTTCAGGCTTCCAATCGCCGTTGGCCAGGGCAGGCCGGTACCGCACAGTAACAGGCCAGGCACCAAGTCAGGCCAAACCGGCCCAATCCATCCTTACCCCGGTCCACCCAAAATTTAAATTGTTTATATCTTAGTTATTTGTGTTTGAATTCTCATTAAAAACTCAAAAGTCAGAAAGGTGCCATTGACTTTTTATTTATTCTTCTAGTCGTTTTAAAAGTCCCTTTAACTTAATTTGGCGCTTCTAATAAAGCTGGGTGCCTGGGTATTGCTAAATGCTTATCTTCTTTTTCGGCCATCTCGAAGATATTTCCTACTCCGTATAAAACATAATAATGAGCTAGAACAAATTAATTTACATATTTCTGATCAATAAAACATGACAACAAAATTTGACAGATCTTCAAAAATCTATGTGCTCCCACCAGCCTGCACCCGGTTGAACTGCACAAGCTTCTTCTGAAATGAATTTGCCTAGAAAACAATGGTGAGCTCTTTTTCATTCATCTCATAAACATGGTCTTTTGCATCTGATAGGGCAGTCTGCATGGTAATGTTTTTAGTCATGATGAGTAGTATCGTTCGATAACAAGGGGGGATATATTATATGTGAGGCCTGCGAGAAGGAAGACGGTGCTTTACCTGTCCCAATTTGGTAAAGAAGTTGTTGGAAAGATTAATGGATGTCAACCTGACATCTTCGTTCGCTTTGAGTGCTTGAGCAATCGCAAAAGCTCCTCCATCCTGTGAAAGTAAAAATTAAAATACATATTCAGTGATCTGCTGAATGAATCAAAATATTCTTCAGATATGTTTACTGTTTAGCACTGTGAAAATAAGTAACATACTCTAATTTCATTGAACCCTAAATTTAGCGACGTCAACGCTTCATTCACCACCTTTAAACTTCTAGCCAGGCATACAGCACCCTGACAAATAAAAAATACTTGTACATGAGCTCTTTTCTACAAGTCCAAGAAAATACATCAATAATACTCCATCCCTCAACACTTCGCCAACCTCCCTTTTAAGGAATGAAATTTCTGGTTCATATTGTTTACTTCTCTTTTGAATAAATTCCATTTTCCGAACCTTTGTGCCAATCGTACTCAGGAAGTCTTGAGGGACAGGGAGTAATAAAATATACCGGAGTATTGGAGTAACCAACCTCATCTCTCAGTCCATTCGCCCGCAGGTCAAGACTTGATATGGTACCATTGTATTTCAACATATCTGCAATGTACTCTGTACCCTTGGCCCCTATCTGTACATGGTGGCAAGAAACCCATCATCATCATATAAGAACAATCGACTTGACAAGGATGGTAAAATACAAAATGCTACCAAGGATTATACCTGACACCAACCGAGCATGAGATCTTTCACATTCCCATGAAACTTAAGAGTTTCAGCTAATGTCTTTGCACCATCAGGTCCAATAGGATTATACCCAAGCTCCAACTGGGAGAAAGAGATGAGCACTATGTCAGCTTTACATGAACATGAATGAAAAAATGATATGCATGAGAAAAGAGTGAAGTTGATTGATTCACTAACAACTGAGATGGAAGAATTGTCCTTCAAAACTCGTGCAAAGACACTAATACCATGTGCATGTATATCATTGCCCCCCTGCAGAAAGTTTTTAACACCTATACTATGAGCATGACGATGTGGAAGTAGTTAATTACTCGTACTTATCTATATTGTATCTTTTGGAAAATAAGACAAACAATCCCTTAAACTTTAGTACAAAGAATCTGATTAGACAGGTGGTTCAACATTGATCTCCAAAACAAGTTGAAATCCCAATCATCAGAGGCTAAATAAGAATGGTGGAAGTGAAAAATGATAGAGTATGAAAGATAAGTTATTGGGCTTACAAGATCCAAGTTTACTATTGAACGATTTTCCTTCAAAGCTTCTGCTATTCTTTCAACTCCCTGGGACACAAGTGATATTATATGAGTGTATTTATCAATAGATTTTTTGTGATCAGCTGAATCAGTCGCCTGTGTTTCCCCACCCTTCACAGTTGACATCCATCAATAATCTAGTACAATACCTAAAATCTTAGGGAAAATTCCCGAAATAGGAGTTGAAACGTTTCAAATTCCAAAATATGAGTAATTACTGCCAAATTTAATAATACTTCATGTTTAAAGTTTGGTACTAGCAAACCATGGCAGTAATTACTCCCTATATAGAGAATAAAAACATGATAGACCTATTTTGGAATAGGTGGCAGTAATTACTCCTAATTCAGGCAATTTCTGAAAATCTTATTGTAAATGGTAAACAGAAACCAAGAAAGCAAGCACAGTTTGAAATTCATAAGAGCATTTCTAAAAAATATAAATGTCGTGGCCTATGATGTGCATGTCAATTTCGAAATGGAGCATTCTCAACTCATCGAACTCGTAATATGGAGTTTGACCTAGGATGTGCCCACAGAATTTGACACTCAATGCTTTACTGACATGACACGTTAGTGAGAATCAACGCCATGACTCATGACCTCTTGAAGGCATTTGCAAGTCAATTGCCTATATCTGACACAAAGTTCCATGCTGCCAACACTAACATATTTAGGATTTAAGGTGCTGATGGAAAGATGGTTTCTCAGTGTACACCCACTTTAGCTCCATGGAGCATGAAGGCAATCTCAAGATTGCAATATAAAGGTACAGTTGAGAGTTATGTTGCACAGAAACCCCAGAAATATGGGAAGATGTGAAATGAAACATCATATTTCCAGCATCCGGCAGTGGTCAGTGGTAAATGTTAGGAGGTTGGTGTGGAAGAAAAAGAGATAGGGATAGGATTAGGGTTTGAGATAATACAATCCCATTTTGGCCACTTTTTTGGAAATATAAAAAATGGCCCTATTTCTGTCCACTGAACAACTAGGGGTTGTATTTTGGTCATTCATTCAAATAATAATCATAGATGAGAAACTATAGAAGTCCAACATATAGATAGACAGTCACCTCATCCTTGATATCGTTCATATAAAGGTTCAACCACTGCAAACTTTTACTCCTCTTGATATGTTCAGCAACATGAAAGGCACCCTTAGCACTAATGGAATTGTTACCAATGTCCAGCCTAACAAGTCTCCCTGCAGAGATATTACAATGATCAAATAGAGCAGTGTTAATAAATAGAGCATGAGAGCGGCTTTCAAAGAAATTGGTTTTAGCTGTGAGGGAAGCAAACCTCTACGTGAAGACAGGCCAGACATTAGGGCAGACACCCCTTCATCACCTATCGAGTTCCCATGCAAATAAATTTCCTGGCATAGTATGTTGATTACTTCAACACTATACAGCAACCCCTTTCAGAAAAATGGCAAGAGGCGGAGAGATAAACTGAATGTACAAAATGGAGAAGTACCAGTATAGATTTGTTCCCTTCCAGGCCTTGGGCAAGGGCAGCAGCCCCTAAGATGCCTCCATAATTGCCACTTCGAACATTCACATTTAAAAGTAACATAGGTTAAGAAATTTTATAATCATTTGGATTTTTGCTTATATTTAATCTTATAGAAGTTATTACTACTTTAAGGATGCAAATGGGAATATTTTGAGACCTGAGATATAGCGATTGTAAACTTTTATTCTGCAGTAATGCTCCAGCAAGACCTGCAAATCCCTACCTCCACATTAAAATGAAGGAGAATAAAATTTTGTTTAGAAAACAAGTGGTAGGGCAGAAATAAAAACAGAATGCACCACAGATTCATATACTCCAAATCATACGGAATAATCAATTAAATTATTGTTAAGCTCAAGGACGCGCAAGTTTGAATTTTTCTTAAGCATCTCAGCAATTGCCTTGGCTCCCTGCAAGGAGATAAGATTGGCTTTAAATAGTATACACTCATCTAACGGTTGATAGAGCCTTTTCAGCATTAAGAAGAAAGATGAGTTGCTACCTCGTCCCCGATGCCAGTACTGTTCAGTTGGAGCTTTTGAATACCAACATTTTCCACCAGAATTTCAGAAAGACACTGAAAAGCATAAGAAAGCAGTGATATTATTTGGTATACTCAACAGATGGTGAAACTAAAATTAGAAACTATCAGCATATTAATACAAAAAATATTTTGTGTCATCTGTCACAGCTTCTGGACCCCATCCAGAAGCTACTTGCAATCTGATGCTTTGAATACGAATACAACATTGACAAAAAGAGTGATCTTTCATTAATTTCCCTTTTATCCTTTCAGTGAAAATCTGAAAGAGTACTAAAGTACCCTTGACTTAGAAAACATAAAAAAGCAACTCCGCTCAAATTCTTCTTCAAATAGGATATCATGAGAAACAGTGCAATAGGTCAAAATAAAAGATAAAACATGATCCGCTTACATTCCGGTACTTTTTATTTTCATTTTACTAGTCTTTTCAACTTTCAGTTTTCGTTAAATTAAACAAATCTCCCAAAAGACATGCATAACACAATGCGCCAACGTGTAGCTCATAAAAAAGAAACATTGCTTTCTATTTGTCCTTAGAGGCATTGACTCCTTTTTACATGAGTTTACCTTAGCACCTTCATCCCCAAAAACATTTCCTGACAAGTCAAGAGTTTTTAAGGCAATATTTGACTGCAGGATACCATCAAAAGCTTTCAGTCCAGCTGCAGTTACTCCATTAGCAGCAAAACTCACTTCCTCAGCAGCCTGAAAATTTTGAAATGCAACAAAATGTGCATTGATAAAGAAGCCAAATATCAACCAAAATGCGTGTTAAGGTGCTATAACTAACTCGTGTATACTCTACTTGCACATACTTTAGCCATGTTATCAATTACAAGTATAATACTACTCACTACGTATTACTCCCTTTGTTCCTTAAAACTTTGCCATCTTTGATATTTTTGGTCAAACATGTTAAACTTTGACTACTTATATATTTTTATACAAAATTATTTATAATATATAAATGATATAAAAATGTTCTTTGTTGAAAATATTTTCATAAAAGTATAAATTTACTCTCTCCATCCCATAAACTTGGCCAAAACTCCTTTTTTAGTCATCCGGACGTCCCAAAATACTTCACCATTTCCATCAAAAGTAATGAATATGCGGCTAAAGTAGTTTCTATCTCCTCAGCACAAATCTCACCACACAGTTTTTACTTTATTATTCTACGTTCAAGTCAAACTTGACCAAGTTTTGTGGAACGGAGGGACAGAGATAGTATTGACACCATTAACTTGAAAAGTCAAAGATGACAAAGTTTTAAGGGACAAAGGTGGTATTTTATTTGATGTTTTAGGATATATCACAAGCATAGTAGTCAATGGCGAGATATGGCGTGCGCCATATGCGCCATGGTGTCGTCGCCATAGCGCCATATTCATCATTCGTAGATGCGCAATCGTCATGCGCCATGAAAAATGCCTTTGAGCCATGGCGATCGTCATGCGCCATGGCAACTATGATCATAACAACTAAGGAACATTTACTTCCGGATTATTGTTCCGTACTCACTTCTGTAGATTGGGGGGATACAAACCTAGATACTTAATGTATTTACTAGAAGTGTCAATCAATTAATGCAAACGTTTCTTTTTCTTACTAATTACTCCTATAAGACATTGACTATAAAACATCTATTGATAAAGAGCGGGGGGAGTATAATTGAAGGAAGCACATAAGTTATATATGGGGTTTGACACAGTCAATAAAGAAATACTCATAATCCTAAAGCAACTGACATTTCGGCACACATAGACCAAAGACAAAGATAGAAATAGAACTACCTGATTGTATGCTAAACTTTCAGCCAAGAAAAATAACCCTTCGTCTCCGAAGTTGAGTCCTGCAGTTTTCACATGAAAACAACCCTAACCATTCCAGTAATATGTAAATGCTGAGCAGTAAAGGGAATGGATAAGGGAGAATAAAAGATAAGAGTAAGAGTACAAGTAAATGTACAAAGTATCATTTTACAAAATTAACAAAGTACATATAAGTTGGATGTTATCCTATTTGAATGTTTTTATAATAGATGATGCCACATATCCATCAAAGTATTTGTTCAGTTACATACGGACTTTCGAAAAAAGAAGGGTGTACTGCAGTACAATGTAAGGTAATGAAAAATTATCTACTAAATTGGGAATTATAATTGGAAGTCCTCAGAAAGAGAAGTGGTGTGCAGTTGTGCACGTACAACCCTTATATTTAACAATATGCTTCAATTTTAAAACAACAGTCAATAGGTAGTATCCATAGAAATAAATAGCAACTAATTGCTCCACTACCTGACAAGTCAACATAGTTGTACAATCTAAGCTCCTTTGCAAACTCATTGAGCTTCTGCTTGGATTCCCTATCCAGCTTTTGACCAAAACCGGATACTAAGTTCGTACCAGGGGCAAACGACCACTTCACACCTTTAGTAGCTTTATTTTCCTCTGATGATGGGCTAACTTGTTTTGGCATAATGAATTTCTCCACTAATTTCCACAAAACTGTCAGCTGAAAAAATTGATTAGTACATGAATTGAGATTTCTGTTGTTTTTTATAACACCAAGCTCACTCTGTGTTTATGTAGAAAATGAATCGGAGAAATATATTCGAGAAAACACGAAGAACACACAGAAAGAGATATAATATTCAGAATAATGGTAAATATTTAGCAGTAAACTAGGAAGATCTAAAGTATTATACGTCACTGATGAACCGTGTTGGACATACAGTGAAGAGTAGGAACCCGCCGGTAATCTACTCCTACTGCAACAATACTGCACAGCATTGACAGAAGCAAAAGGGGAAAAATCCATATGCATTTTCCAGAAATTATTGTTGTTTTTGAGTGTTCGGCTGAATGTTATTTTTTCCTGTTTAGTTCTTTTCAGAAAAATGACCTAAACCTGTCCCATTATTTTTTCCTGTAAAATATAAATAACTTCATGATAATATAATACGAAGTAATATGCAATGGACACACACACACAATATCAGTATAGTTATAATATATTTGCAATGGATACACACACAGTATAATTACTATATAAATCAATTACTCCGTACAATAAATAAATTTTTTAAAAAAAAGACATTTCCAAAGTTTAAAATATCATAAATCATCCATCTAATTAGTCATTAAGTATTACTCCCTGCAGTCCTATTTACAAGGCACGATTTTGGTTTCACAAAAACTAATGAAGTGGTTAAAATCATTTTAAAAAATACGATGTTAGTAGTTTTCCTAATATGCCCTTATTCCACAGTACTTTAGTGTTTGCATCAATCTCAATAAGAAATGAGGCTCCTTCATCAAGAGCCAACACACTATTTAAACGGGGCGGTTGTCGGAAAATAAATTTTACCAAGTATTGGCAGTATGAAACTGACTTATATTTAGGGACACACTCTATTGTGCCCAATAAGTGGGACATGATGGAGTAAGGTGGTTCGACAATATGCTGGTAGAATGATGAAAATGTTTATTCACCAGCACCCGCTTCTGTTTTTAGCACACCATGTGAGGCATGCAACAGACTCTTCACTTCAAATCACCAAAGGTGCACTGACTCGAATAAGGAGAAAGGAAAACGTGTCTGTGTTCTGACTTTTCTTTCCGCTTGAAATTTTTTATGTGCAATTTGAATAAATCCTAATTCCTAACCAGTAATTATGACAGCAGGGGAGTTGTTTTCAAAGCTAGGTGGACCATCAACTGTAAACAATTTGTTTAAATTTGGTAAAGTATGCACCCCTTGGGCTACTGTGTAGATGCCTCTAGTTTTACTTGAAAGTTACTCTACTACATTGCAAGCCCAATAACGTCTTTCAATTACTTTCATTTATGTTCAGACAAGTAATGCAAGCATATATTAATGCTAAAAAGGTAAAGAAACATCAATCACAATATAATACAAGTATTTAAAAATGAAAGCTCAACGCAATCAGTACCTAAAGAAACCAAGACGAAGACCCCCGCAGGAAGAACAAAAGATGCAATTTCATTCACCGCAGGAGCTTGGGCTTGGGATTCCCGATAAACTCTCCTGGAACCTGACGAGCGAGCAGGACCGCCAGTAGAAGAATACGCTCTCACCACTAGTCTCCTCGCTCTCAGCCATTTTCTACTACCACCAACACTAATGCACAGTGGGGGGAACACTGCTACCGCACCCAGCGCACAATAGCGAACTGACCTGATCAACCCTGCTCTCTGTAACCCCTCATTCCACGAACTGATTCTATAGTAAATCTGAAGTTGAGCAAAATCAGTAAAAAGACGAACACAGAGATACTTCAACCGTCAATATAATATCCATGCGCGAAGAAATACACACATATTGAGTGGAGGAAGAATGTCACCTTCGAGTTAGAGCAGAGAGATGGTGTAATTGCTGAGCCCATCGGCGTTTGGAACCAACCGTATAGACAAATGATTTTAGCGCGAGAACGGAGAGATAAAAATGCGGAGTGGCGAAGCAGACTGCAGTGGACGGTGCTAAGAAACTCTGATTTTAACAGGGGGGAGCGCAAACGTAAATGGTGACCACAATGATGGGCTGAGGATACGCCAAGGCCCTGAAATAAGCCCAATTAGTCAAAACACACTTACGTAGGGTGGGCATAAAACCCGAACCGAACCGGTACCGAGCCGTCCCGTAATGGTACCGAACCGAATACCGGGTATTTAAACGGTTCTATAGATTTTTGTCCCGTAATGGTACCGAACCGAATACCGGGTATTTAAACGGTTCTATAGATTTTTGTCCCGTACCGAAACCGAACCGTTTGAAACGGGTACGGGACCGGTCTTAGATTTTGAGAACCGAAAAATACCAGACCGAACCGTTCGAAAATAATTCATTTGAATTTTTATATTTTTCTATACCAATAGATCTCTTTTATATACAAACAATTTTATTGTCCAAGAATGTATTCATGCGTTCCTAACTAGCTAAATGTGTGTGTTTATATTATATGATATATATATATATATATATTGATAATTTATGTTATATTTTGATATACCATTAGATAATTTATGTTATATATGATATACCATTAGATAATTTATGTTATATTTTGATATGTATTGAAAGAATATTAGAATTTCAGAAATCATTAAGGACTATTCATTTGATCATTTCTAGTAATGTAGAGTACATGACCTTTTGTAGTGTCATGTTTGCACAATTTTACAACTTAACTAATATGGTTTAAATCTTAGTTCTCAAGTTTCAACTATAAATTAAATTACAACTATGGAGAAATATTTAACCTAGAACGAAGAAGAACATTGAAGATTTCTATTATAAGGAGTATTCAACAATTTGACGATATTTTTTTTTTATATTTTCACATGAACTTAGTAAATTAAAGATGATATTTATCTCGTGCGTCATCATTTTGCTATACTTTTTCTTAGGTGTGTTGCACTATTTGTGTATTTGTGAACTTTAGTACTACGTATGCAATTTCTTGTATTTATATCAACATTTCATGTGAGTTGGTTGGTGTGAAGATATCTACTAATTGCAAGATTTGTTCAAAATTTTTAGCATGTGTTTGGCATTGTACCGTTTTGTACCGTTCCGAAACGGCATGGTACCGAACGGTTCCATCCTTGAAACCGGATCGTACCGGACCGTTAAAAACTTAACGGATACATTACGGGTTTTACTAGTTTACCGGACCGCTCTGGACCGTGCCCACCCCTACTGACTTACGGGCTTAGGCTGACATTTTGATAAATAAAACTATTTAAAATATACTTCTTAGGTCCCAAAAGGGTTTGCCAAAAAGATTTGTCATTTTCATTTAAAGTAAGAAATATGTGGCTAAAATTAATTATATCTCCTCTGCACAAATTTCTAGGGGTGGGCGCGGTCCGAAACGGTCTAGGAAATTAGTAAAAACCCATAATGTATCCATGAGGTTTCTAACGGTCCGAGACGGTCCGGTTTTAAGGATAGAACCATTCGGTACCATGTCGTTTCAGAACGGTACAAAATGGTACAGTACAATGTCAAACACATGCTAAAAAATTGGACAAATCCTGCAATTAGTAAATACTCCGTATATCATAACACCAACCAACTCACATGAAATTTCGATATAAATACAAGAAATTGCATACGTTGTACTAATATTCACAAAACACAAATAGTGCAACCTAACTAAGAAAAAATATAGCTAAAGATGATACATGAGATAAATATCATCTTAAATTTACTAACTTCAGGTGAAAATATAAAAAGAATATCATAAAATCGTTGAATATAATAGAAAAATGGGAATGTTCCCGAAATAGGTCTAAAAGAGTTGGAAAATTCCAAAATAGGACTGTCATATTTTTATTCCCAAAATAGAACTAATTACTGCCAAATTTGGAAAATACTGCCATGTTTGAAGTCTGGTACTGCCAAAACACGGCAGTAATTAGTCATATTTTGGAAATAAAAACATGGAAGCTAGTCCTATTTTGGAATTTGCAAACTTTTTTAGTCCTATTTCGGGTAATATCTCTAGAAAAATTCATCATTCTTCTTCTTTGTTCTTGGTTAAATATTAGTTCTAATTTAATTTATAGTTGGACATGAGAGAGAAGATTTAAACCATATTAATTAAGTTGTAAAATTGCGCAAACATGATATATACCAAAATATAACACAAATTATCTAAAAAGAAAAATAACAATATGCATATAAACACACACACATTTAGCTATTTTAGGGACACATGAATACATACTTGGGTATAAAATTGTTGGTCCGGTATTTTTCGATTCTCAAAATCTAGGACCGGTCCCGTACCCGTTTCAAATGGTATGATTTCGGTTCGGGATAAAAATCTATAGAACCGTTTAAGTACCCGATATTCGGTTCGGTACCATTACGGGCCGGTTCGGTACCGGTTCGGTTCGGGTTTTATGCCCACCCCTACAAATTTCAACCACACAATTTTTACTTTATTAATTCACGTGAAAGTCAACTTTGGCCAACCTTTTGGAACGGAGGAAGTATAATTTACCCTCCATTGGGGCTCTTTAGAGTGGAATTAATATCCCTATTTACTTAAAGAGCGGTAGGTAGTTAACTCGTCCTTTTTACGTTGCTACAGTAGCCGTCTGTTTAACGCTTCCGTTTACTCCTCCCTGGTCGTTGCCCATTCGCGTAAAATACGGCCACTGTTGAGGGGATATGAGCGTTCAATGTATTTCCCATTACATTTCCCATATCTCTCCGCCGAAGCTCTCCGCCAAGTCGTCCGCCACCAATAACTAGGGTTGTGACCAGTCTTCAGGCAAGCTGCTCCCATAACCACCGATCGCGTCCATTCTTCAGAACATCGACAAAGGGGTTTCAGGAAGACAAGCGCAGTCGGTGTTGCTTTGGCCGGTGTTGCTCTTCTCGTTGGCGCTCTGGATTCAAGTGAAATTCATCTTTCCTTTATTCTAATCAATTTGGTGGATTTTTCAATTACTTCATCCGAGTCTATATAATTCATTTGTGTTTTTAGAAAGATATACTTGGTTCTCCCTTATAAATCTTGTTGGGTATCATACTTTGTTCTACAGTTTTAGGGATTTGCAAAGTCTGGAACTTCTGTTCGAGGTTTTTGTGATTCTGGCATTTCCACTCTTGGTGCAAATTGGTATATACGGCTTCTATTTTGATGTCTTTTAAAGTTCACATCTTTACTTTCAACTGGATGTTGCTGTGGAGCAAGCTGCAGGTTGGGAACGTTGGGAAAAAAGACTGTTCGTCAAAAAGGAGATGCACATGAAGCACAAGCAACAACATTGGGTGTTGATGCTCCACTGGAGGAGCTTTGGGCAGTTATAAAACAGGTTACTTTAAAAAAAACACGTCTTATTTTATTCTTCGCGTCCAGTACTACGCCTTGGCCCTTGGATCATTACATAGGAACCCAAAGATAAATAGATAAACAAAAAAGATGACTATTATGTATACGAAGAGTTTGAGAGTAAGCATTACAAACCTCCAATATGTTAAAAAACAAAAAATAAAGATCCATGATGTATATGTGCTGAAGTCATCCCCAAGAATCCAAAGTTGGATCCATTAAGGTTATTTTTCCTTTGTTGCAATTCTCTCTCTATGGCAACCTAAAAAAGGGATTTTGAAGGCATGGGGCATTAATGTGGTATGTGATTTTCACTTTTTCAGGATGGTAATCATTGATCTTTTCATTGCTGATGGTCCCAATGCAAAGCTTTAAAAGGTATCAATTCTTGAGGCTGCTAAATTGCAACTTAAAAGGGATATTTCAGATGCAGTGTTGAGGAAGGTCAGACTTAAAGTGTATCTATTTTTATGTTTCAAATTATTAAGAAGTCTTCAGTACTTTGTAACACAGAAATTTTTAGCGAAGGGGGGAAAAGCCAGGGAAAATTCAAAAAAGTTCTGAATTTTTGGCTTTACCTTGGAAACTACAAAGGCAAATCATTTCAGAATAAAACTTTTTTTTAAGTTATACTCCTTGTGTGGTACATTTCTTACTCATTAATGGATATACTTCAGTTGTACTCTACATTCACTACTTCTCTTACCTGTTTGTTTTTCCTGGCATTTTTAGGTTCCAGGCGAACCCTACGTGGACCTAATGGAATATCACTCATGTATTTTGAAGGATTTGAATGAATTGTGTGTATCGCGGCACTCCGCTTGGCTTCTAAAACATGGTGATGGGAGTTCAAAATATGACCTGTTATCCAAATTGAGAATGTCTTTGCATCAAGCAATTGGTTGTTCATGAACGGTCTAAAGTCTATACCCAGGGGGAGCCCAGACCTGTTTGCTTAGTAAATACTGCACATGTCAAGTTTTAGATTCTGAAGGTCAAGCTTCTTGAGTGCTCACTATGATAAAATTAACAATTTTTTCCCTCTATTCAGTTTTTAATACAGATGCATATCCCACTTCCATTTGTAGCTTCATGGATTACCGAGGCACAACTTCACTGTCAACCTGCTTCCATGTACCTTGTTTTACTTATATGTACATTTCTCACATGTCTGTATATGTGTTCTATTTAAAAAAACTGCATGTATATGTGTGATTTCAGCAGATCGAGACTCAACCTTAGTCTTCTTATTCCTGATTCCATTATTAATTCAGATTTACTTTATATTTCAGTTCATTTTGTTGGATTAGTTTGAGATTAAGTGTTCATGTCCACTTCCCATTTCTAATGAAAGGGTTCATTTAGGGTTACTTTCTATGCATCATTATTGGGTTGATTTGAGATAATAAAAGATATAAAACTCTTGTGGCTTCATTTAATACATATTTTTCTAAACATTAATTTATATGATGTTTTCCCCTCTTCTTATTTAGGAAAAGCAAGTCGTCCAGTGATTATGGACCTTTATTGTTTTGATTCACAATAGAAATTCTCTGGAAAACAGATGTCTGGGAAATTGTCAAGTGAATCAGGTAATTAGTGGCGGTCTACCTCTGCCTCGTACCCTTGGGCCATACTTCTCCAGTTCTGCTTAATTGTTTTTCGTTTTCCTAG